TTTTTAATAATTTAGTAACGTGTATATATATATATATATATATATATATATATATATATGGAGTACACTAACACACACATACAGTACAATATATGTATATTTTTTTGAAAAATCCTAAGAGGGTTATTTGGGACTTCAAAGTAAATGTTTTGCCTCTTTTCTGCCTCTGCATAAACTAAATGCATGAGAATATTTGGACCAATAATAATTATTTTTATATATCGTCACAGTCCAACAAAAAGCATGCATCTCCAAATATAGTGAGATTTTCTACATTTTTATTTAAAAAAAAAAATGAATATTTTGTATTTTGGCTGAAAATGAAGAAAAGAACAACTTTGGAGGAAAAACCGGATACTGAATATGCTTTTTTTTGGACAACAATATTCGAATTTTATTTCTACCCTTTGTATGTGAATAAAATTACAACTTTGATTTTTTTAAATAATAAAGTATATTCCTAATGTTTGATTCACAGTTCATACTATGTTCATAAGAATAAAAATGAATGACTCTTAATTTATTGCCGTTCTTATTTTTATAAACTTATTACGGTGCTTTAAGTACAAAAAAAACTAACAAATGGTCAGCGGAGTCATGTTTATACCTGGCTTCATCCACCAGGAACTTATCGCCTGTACAGGTGAAGTTCTCCACGTATCCTCCAGCTTTGCAGTTGATGCGATCCCACCGCGGCTTGCAAACGGCCAGAAAGTGCGGCCGGAGACGCCCCACGGAGTACTTGGCGACATCCGTCAGCGACTGGCTGGCCGCCGCTCCGAACAAGTAGCAGCCCACGGCCTTGTAGACACATGCTGCATACATGCGGCCAAGCGTCTTCTTCTTGATGTGGGACAGGTAGACGGAAAGACACTCACCACAGATGATCTAGAAAGGAAGCGAGAGAGAGTTAGAGAGAGGGGGAGGATGGATGCCACCGAATGGATGACGTCACGATCTCGCAGACTTTTCCATGCTTACAGCACTGAGCGTGAAGGGGATCATAACACCCCCAAGGAGTTGGTAGGAAATGGTGTCCTCTTTGAGGGGGTAGCGGATGGACTCATCATCGCAGAAGAAGCCTCGTTTGAAGGGGTTGTGCTGAGGAGTCAGGATGAAGAAGGGGAGTCCCACTAGTGGTGGGCAAACGGAGACGCAAACATGGATCGTAAATTGTTTTTGACTAGAAAGCTAAGATTCATATTTAAACTTGATTGTGTGCTGACTTGGAGACAGTCACAACAATGAGTCATACCCTTTTGCCTATCACAAAAGTCTTTTCAACTCTGCATTTGCTTATGTCTGGGTCAGAGTTTTCTGCGGTGGTCTCTGATATATATTTTTTTCCACAGCTGTGTGTATGTACAGTATATATGTATACATGACAGAAACACATGAAACTCGCACATTGCACAACAACAAAAAAATCTAAACAATGGCATTTATTTAGGGGGAATGGAAAGAAGAAAGCGGGACAAGATAAGGACAGTGCAACTTTTGTCACTGACAGTCTCGAGACAACATTGAGATTCAATAATGAGACAAACACTTGAGTTGAGCGTGACTTTGGAGGCGAACAATCAAGTATTTTTCTGTTAAATTATGCTTAATTTCTAAAGGGTTGGCTTTTGTTAAGAGATACTTCACTCTAACACGGAGAATTAAGAGAAGCGAGTTTAGTCCTATACTACTGCATGACTCTTTTTCCTTATCGAACCCAGACAATGACACATTTTTGCTTTTTAAGTGAGTCGGTAGTTAGTAATTTGGCCCTGCGGTGATATTACAAAACATCTTCAAACAGACTGGAAAACTAGATGGTGTTACTAAACAGCAAAATACATGACTCCATACTGTACCAAAGAAGAAAATTACACCAATTAGTCACATGGAACAAAACTGACTGTTACGGATGCAGAGGGCAGACTGCAGACTCAGTGGCATCCATTCTGTTGGTGCTGCAGGTTTCTTATGATTACAAAGCAAATACAGTAGTGGACTAAAAATACAACTTTGGCCTGGAAAACTCACACACGGGGTGGAACTTTTCCATCTCCCTGTATGCAGTTCCTCACATCAAGCTTCCCAATGTGTATACTATTTACATGCTGTTAACGCCAATCGAAAAAAATACACTTTAGGAATAATATACTTGGGGGAAGTGGTAGTTTTGTTTGGCCACTTTGTTGTGTAAATAGAAATACAAGGAAAGGTATATTAAAGAGTGGACACATACCGAGTATGAGACAAGTAATGTCCAGCAGGAAGTATGGAATTCCAGAAACTTCAAACATGTTATCTTCTTTTTGTTGTAAATGAAATAAAAACGTGAATAAAAATCCTTCAGCTCCGATTGTCTTATTCCATAAAACACACCACCTTCATGGTGCCACCCGCCCAAAATCATTAAAAACACGAAAACAAAGTCACACAGCTAACTCATCCATGCGTGGACAGCTTCAGGTCCGTCAAAGTTGTCCGAGTGCATCTCTCCACAGCTGCGTTTGAGTAGAACTTCACCGGTGTGCCACAGAAACCCGAACCCCGTTACCATTGCGAATAATGAGAATGTTGGGTTCTGCTGGGAAATATCAAAATTTTGCGGCAGCTAATCCTGACAGTTGAGCTTGAGAGTCAAACAGATGTTATATACTGGATATTCTATATGTGCTTCATGACAAAAATATCGCAGTTATCAATTCCTATTCTGTTCGAAATCAAAGTTGTTTCGTCTAACAAATAGAAGGAGAAATGACAGTAACGAACTTTCCGTTTCCCGATTAAACTTGAATGCAGCACAAAATACGGAAGTGGGAAGTAAGAGTAGCCAATCACGTGCCAGGCATGCCCTCGGACGATTGCCACCGCGAGGCCCCGCCTTTTCCTCATGTCACTCATCCTGAGCTACTATAATGAGGTTTAGAGGAGTCACAGTGTCATTAAAACATGCCAACACTGCACTTTGTTCGATTAGATTTCGCCTCGAGCCGATTCCACGCGCGTTTCCCGTTGTCTTCTATTAAACAATGTCAGGCAAAAACACAAGAGGCCCTCGGTTTACAAAGGAGTTAGAATGTGGCTAAACAGGTTTAAAATCTTGACTACAATAGGATAAAAACCACATCTGGTACAAAATATAAAACAAATTAATAAAAAGAGCAGAAGTTTATTGTCAAACTAAATATAAAACAGAAAATCAAACATAAAACAACCCACAGCTTCAACTTCACCTAACATGTCCATTTCTCTTCATGCTGACAAACAATGCAACACCACAGACAGGCTAACGAAACGCTTCATTGTTGCGGTGGAGTAATCCTTTAAGCAAATGGTACTTCAACACACGGAGTCAAACATGTAGACATTTAATATAACAATATTCACAGGCATATATTTTGTATCCTCAGAAATTAATAATTTTAATATTACTGCAGTTTACTGAGGAGCGGTAAAAATTCATGATTTTTAATTTTTTTTACTCTGTCGAGTAAAATCATAGATTTTTCTTGTGTGAAAACAATATATTATACATGTTTGAAAATGAAATCATTTGAAGACTGAGAACCATGTGCCATAGAAATGTGGAGAGACAGTGTTAACCTGTTTTACACCATTTCTATTTTCCAGATTTTTTTGGGGGGTGTGGCTAAATCCAGTAATGCATTTAGGCCTCCTGCATGAGTCACTCCTCTCCCTTGGTTCATATCAGCGGTCATCCTCCTCAATCTTCCAGCTGCCCTTGACAATATCAACCATTCTATCCTCATCTACTGCCTGCATTCACTCTTCAACACCACCAAATAGAAGGAGAACCTCACCGGTGTGAAGAACTTCACAGGTGTGCCCACAACTAGCGATACTCCAATGATACTGACAGAAAACAACTGATCTTCATCAAAAACTGCTCCATCTTAAGAATGTGTGCTCCAGGGCTCAGTGCTTGGTGCCCCTCCCGCCCCCGCCCCTTCATCCACTGCGACGGTGTTTACGTCCAGTTTCTCCAAATCAAACTTAATCATACTTGGCCCAAACTTAGTCACTCATCAAACGTCACCCTCCCTTCACTGCCGCAAACCTGCTATCACTTTGACATCAACCAACATGTCACATCTCCAAAATAGCTTTCTTTCTTCAGAAAAACATGTCTCACCTCCACCCTCTTCACTGCTGCCAAAACCCTGATTCACAGCTACATCACTTGCTGTCTTGACAAAATTCAATTACATCAATAATTTCAGCTCATCCAGAACTCCTTCGTTCCTGTGACCACATCGTCCTTGTCTTCAAAAACTCCACTACAGGCTCCCCATTCTCCAACAAATTCAATTCATACTCCACATTTCCTCCATACCATGAACCAAACACAAAACCTTGGGGGACAGATTCTACTCTGTCGCTGCCGCTACCCTCTGCAACTCTCTCGCACAACATAACGTGACTGCACAAACCTCACATACTTTAAATTGCTCCTCAAAACCCAACTGATCTGCTGTTTTCATCACCTAGCCATTATCTCATTTTTATATGTAATTATTTATTTACTGTCTCGAATTTCATGTTTTTATTCCCGAATTATTTTTGTTGCGTTTTTGTGTTGTTTATTTTGTGATTTTTTTTTCACTCTGTTTTTAACCTGTAATTTGTAATTTGAGAACTATTTAAAGCTCTCTAAAAATAATATGTATACTTCTTCTTCGCCTTATTATTATTATTATTGGTGGCTCGGTGGTGTACTGGTTAGCGCATCGGCCTCACAGTGCAGAGGTGCAGGGTTCGATACTCTAAAATTTAGAGTATCTTGAGGACTATTTAGAGTCTAAATAGTCCTCAAGTGTAATTGTGAGTGTCAATGGGTGGCTGCCTTTCCAGCATCTCCTATATTTTGTTGTTCTACTTCTTCCTTTCATAACTTTGCTGCTGTGAATTGGGAATTTCTCCATTGCGAGACTAATAAAGGTTTTTCTTATCTTTCTTATCTTAGTTTGTGTATGTGTGCCTTGCTATTTGCTGGCAACCAGTTCGGGGTGTGCCCCACAATCTGCCAGAAGAGGGCTGGGATAGACCCCAGCACACCTGTGACCGTCGTGAGAATATGTGGCTAAGAGAATGGATGGATGAAATGACAAAAGCTGTGACGTTCTTTTTAATTCTATTTAATGATGTGAATACTGTATGTTTTACAACGTTAAATGTTATTGAGTATTGTGATAGACTTTGAGGGAACTAAAGAACCTTTTACAGTATTTACTGGCCTGCATCCATTGTGCCAAACGCTTGAACTCACGTCTGCTCTTCACGCGCTTGAATTTCACTCCGACCTATCGCCTAAGGGTCTCGTAATAAAAAGCCAGATGCTCTCTCCCGCCTCCACGATTTTGCGATGGATAAAACCAGGACGAACAATTACTCAAATGAATTCTTGATGCTTGAACTACTGTACAAAAGCATGACACAGACATTTTATTAAGACCCATTGGAAATGTTGTCTTTGATTTCAGTTAACTATGTGTTCAATGTCCAACACTTCAAGAGATTCTACTGTTCCTATCGAGGTGCGCTTGGATGTCTGCTTTGAAGAGCAGCTCTCCCAGTTGCCCATGTGAGGCCTCGCTCATGGCTTTGGTCCGCATGCACATCTGGTACTTGTCCGGTGGCAATTCGTCAGTGCACGTCTTCTCATGCCACAAGTGGAAGAGGCCACGCGACGGAGCGCGCACCACCATCAGTTTGCTGTGTAGATACTTCCTGTAGAGGTGCACATCCTCCAGCCCCCAGCCTTTAATGCTGCGGTCAAAACCACCTGCAAAGGACAAGCACAAACAGTGAACAGGATAGTCACTACGCATCACAGTCCTGAGGGGTCTTCCTCTTGAGTGCTACTTCCTTCCTTTATTATTTTTTTTGCAATATCCTGCAGTTGTGTCATAACATATGATTCAAACTGACACCAGCAGTAATTTATGACATTAGTTAGGATGAGAGAAACAAAGACACTGAGGAGTAATGATAATATGTATTATTGTTCTTAAAAAAACCTACAGTACGTCTCCCACATGAATAAATGCTATGGGCTTATAAATGAGGAAATAAAGCACTTTGTAATTTCCTTTTTAGCAACATACTGCCAATGAATGTTCGCTCGTCTTGCTATTTCATGTCAGTATACAAATACAGTAATGCAGAATTTCTTCATCATGTCGATTAGTCATTACCTATGTTGAGGAAATCCGACCTGTACTGGCACGTCATCCCAAAGCCGAAATCTCTCCAGAAACCCGTGTCGCGTCTTATCACCTGAGATAAAAAAAAAGGGGGAAAGAAAACACTTTAGTGAAAAAATAGACATACAGTAAACCAACTCAATTTTGTTTTTTATTCGCAGATATAATACCCATTTTGGTCATTAGGTTGTGTGTTGGGTAACATTTGAAATATGAAACTAAAAGAGGAAGCATTTCAAGATCAGCCTATTTTTTTTACTGAAGATGTTATTAAATCTCACAATCCTATATCATCCTGCGTTTTACCCCTACAGAAAGGAAGTAGGTTCATTTTCAAATGTACATCTTTTGGCATGATTATTGATGTCCATCAGAGTTGTCAAACTCGTTTTTGTCGTGGACCATATTGTTGTTTGGGTTTCCTCTGTTATTCTTGCTCCCTCTCAATATATTACATGTATTTAATATATTAAATTTGAATTTGTTTGTATTATTTCAAAGTGTTTTGAAAGACTGAAAAAATATGTGCCATAAATGCTGTGGAAACACGCATAGGGAGTATTAATAGGGCATTTCTATGTCACGGATTTCATTTATTGTGGTGTGGTATGGAGCATAACCCCCAACAAAGTTACTGTACAGCATGGTTTATTTATCCTCTGTGTTCTTTCACTCACCAGTTGTTGCTGGATAGATGGTACATGAGTGTAATTACTGTAGATGATGGATGGATTGTACTGGCTGAAGAGGACTGGGTAGTACACCTTTTTACCTGCTCAAAAACAAATGTTAGAAAATAACTTGTAAATTGGGTAAATCATCTCATCTTGTCTGTCACTTTTCCTAGTTGGAAGTCGGAAAAGTCCAACTTTAAACCTTCCCCGAATGCAGCGTTAGCTCCTTAAAAGACAAAAGTTGTGATGTTTTCGTTTTCACTCCGAATATGCAGGTTGCATCAAGCAGTGCCGATGAAGAAGTGAAATGTTGCATGCAGCTATGAATTCCAACAAAGAACTCCCACCTGGCTCTGCATTGAGGCGACAGGAAGTCAAGAAGTCTGCCGTGAAGTGGATGTCAACATCACAGAAAAACATCAGAACATTATGGCTTCGCCTCCAGGCCCTGGCGCCCACTTCTAAGCCCCGCCCACGCGAGAACTCCTCATTGAGCTGGATCAGCGTGAAGCTCCTGAAGCGGGTCTCCCTGGTGGAGGAAGGAGAACCTTTACCCCACAACTAGGAACATTTATTAAGCCATTATGTGTTTAGACTTATTGTCTAAATTTAGGCAAACGTCCAATGATTGGAGTGATTACCGGAATCCTGTGGTGTGGAGTATGTTAAGAGTGATATTTTTTTTTTCCCTGTCCGAGTTCCTCGGAAAACTGTCAGGACCCACAGTCATGAATGTTGAACCTGCTATTATTGTTAAATATATTTTTTTTATGATGGTAAATCCTCCCAAGCGTCATCAACATACTGGATATAGCTAGCTAGCTTGCAAGTAGGTAGCCAGGCAGTGGGAACAAAAGTCATGTTACCTACTTGGTTGTCTGATCCAGCACGGCTTTCACCTGGTCAATCTGCTCACGCCCAAAGTAGACCACTGTGAGATGGACATTACCATCTTGCTGAATGCATACCTCCCTGCGCCAAACATCACAAAAGAACGCACACACTAGAGCATCATTCACCATCAACACAGATCCACGATGTCCCAATTTTTTTTCCATACAGTACCTGAAGTTGTGGACAAACTGGCGGAAGGTGTGCGCCCTCTTGGAAAGCGGTACGATGATGTTGACGAGCATGCCGCTTGTGTCCACTCGCTCGCTCTTCACCTTAACCAAAGGACCGAAAGGCCTGAAGAGAACCGTCTTGGCGTAGTCCCGCGGCCCGTCGCCTTTGAATATCAACTCATACACAGTCCCCCTGTCCCGCTCGGTGCGGGTCAGCCCTGTGAGCACAATATAACACTGAGTCACTGAACCATATGTAGCACCTATGGGGGATACAAAATGTATAATGTATGGAATTCTGGTTTTATGTTTCAGATACCCCAGGTATCGTAAGTATTAAAACTCTATGTATGAAAACATATGCCCATCATAAAATATACGTGTGTATATTCTGTATATATACAATGTATATATTCCAGTTTGGACCTGAGAGTAGCTGTTGTGCTTAATGACCATAACTCCGTTGCTAATTTATGTCAAGCCATCGATGGCATTTTGGATTATATGTTAGCATTAAGCTAATGGACTTTAGTTCGACGAAAAACGACATGGTTTGGTTGAACACTAAATCGATCTGTTTTTGTCACGTTGCGCGGTGGTGGTGGACCCCAAAAAGCAGGCAGGAGGGAGGAGCAGGTTGGACTTGAAGAATTGTATTGATAAAAACACAAAAAACTAAATCCAAAACAAAAGTCCTGAAAACAAAACGAATCCAAAGTATCAAACAAAACCTGGCTGTAGCTAAAAACTAACAGTCACCAAAACATGATCGAGAACATGACAGACAAACACGACAGCTCCAACAACCAAACAACGACCCGACAATGAGTGGTCGGGCGGGAGTCCTTTTATACAACTAATTACATAACAACCAACAGGTGTGCAGCTGCAGGGGGAGCCCTACAGTGCCACCTGTTGGTCACAAACAGAATCATGACAGTTTTAGAGTGAACTGTGAAGGACAAACAAGCAAGCAGGCTTTGCATCTTATTTGGACAAGTGTGCCAGCAAGAACAGGTACTGGGCCAAAGCGCCTGCGACAAATCGGGGTTACCTGTACGGCTTTACGGAAACTAAAATCATCAGCTGTCTTCTTTCAACAAGACAGTATTGTCATCTATCCAGGTAAGAACACGGTTGATTTTGAATATAAATGAGCAGCATGAAGACTCACCCTCAATGAAGTCTGACGGGGAGAAGGTGCGCTTCCTCCTGCTGGTGTCCACGTGTTGCTGAGGTCCATTCAGGACATGTAGTGCTGTCTCCACACTGCCTATCAGCTCATCCCTGCGGTCCTTCCTCACAGGCCTCTCCTCGGGGTGCCTGGTCAGCCCCGTCTCCAGTTGGTACACCCTGAGGGGACACACCCACTTGCCATACACTGATAATGAACTACCATATTCATAGTACTCCCATAGACCAAATTTGTAATATGTTGAAGGGATACATTATCTTGACCGAGTGCCAAACATTTTTGTATACAGAATCAGAAAGGAGCTATCTTTTGCTTAGGTTGTTAGTGGTATAATGTGGTGATACTGAACTGTTTTGGGATCATAGATTTGAGAAATAAACAGATCTTTCTAAGTTATCAACTTTTATAGAGTTAGTTTTGACAGTCATATTTTCAATGGATGATTTTTTTTAGGGGTGTGGCCTAGTGAGTGACATCAGATGACTGGATGTACTGTAGTATTCATATTTTCAATGGATGATTTTTTTTTAGGGGTGTGGCCTAGTGAGTGACATCAGGAGCTGGAGCTGCATGACCAGACCCAGAAAACTGTTGTGCCATGACATTTGCAATGTGAGCCCGAGGGCACTTTGACATCAATTTGAGTGGACAGTAGAGGGCAAAACTGCAGGGCCGTATAATTGATGAATACAGATGGATTTGTCCTTTTAATTCTTATTCCACAAAATATTAATCAGAATACTGTATCGTGTTGACACGAATGGGGGCCCAAAAAAATAACTGGAGTTACCCGATAAAAACAAAGAAAATAATTTGAAAGAAACTCCTAAAGCGGATGTTTGAAATCCAGCCAAGATGTGATGAAGGCATGGATTTTACTGTTTCAAAGTGCTTTTATGCAAGAAGAGGCTTCCCCTCTGCAAACAACAATGATCTGGTAGAAGGAGAACTCCTCATAAAAGAACAATGTGTATGCCAGAAGGAGTAGGTGGTACTCTTACCTCCGCAGAGTAAAGGTGTCAAATGGAATCACAACGTATTCGTCGGGTAGCGGTACGCCCGCATTGACCTCTGCACGGTTCAGCTGTGAGCGGAAGAACTCCTGGAAGGATGCATTCGTTCATTCATTCATTCATGAAAACTGTACAACAGGGATGTGGCTCAGGCCCACTTTGCTTCTGGAATGAAATTAACTTTATTTCCTGGAAAAGAAATGTTGCGACTGTTTTAGTTGTAAATAGTTTCTTTATGTCATTACTGAGCGTTAGCCTGATAGCATATCGGCTCAAGACAGCAATTCTCAAACTTGGTACACAATGCACTAAAAAAAAAAAAACAAAAAAAAAAACTCATTACCACCATCATGACCATCATTACCATTAGGTTTTATTAAAGGGGAAGTCAACCCCAAATTTTTTTGACAGTCGTATATTCTATGGGCCTGTACTAGTTGGAACACGGCATTGTGATTCATATTGCGTCTGCGAAATATGAGTTAAGCAGCAAAAGTCACCCATTCTTAGTCATCTCAGGGGCCGCCCATTTTGCCACTTTCTGTCGACTGGAAATGACCTCACATTTGCTCAGGGCTGATGTAATGACAAATCTCACCTGTTTACTGGGGGTAGGACTAGATAAGTTGTATACTTCTTCCTACTCCTTTGAACATATAACTGTGATGATGTTTGTATTACTTACTTTGTATTACTTACTTTTACTTTTATTTTCCTTTCATAATTTTTGTTTGCATTTTGTCATGTTATTGTATGTTTTATATATGTTCAATAAACAAACAAACAAACAAACAAACAAACAAACAAACAAACAAACAAACAAACAAACCTGTTTACTGAAGCTGAGCCATGATTGGTTGTTATGGATTAATGGCATTTCTATTCATTTCAGATGCTTTGGGATGCAAGTGATTTGAGTTAAAAATGGACTGACGACCGGGTCATAGTTTGGCCACCCCTGACATATGACATTATCTCATCAATGTTACCTTTAGGTCAGACTGCATGGGGGTTTTGTGCAGACTCTCCAGGCCCTGAGGCAGGATCCCTTTGATTTTGGCTTTGTCCAGCGACTCCTGTAGCTGCAGCGTCCGGTCCTGGAGAGCCTCCTTGAGTTGCGCTATCTGCTTGCTCAGGCTGTCAATGTAATGCCTGTGGGAGTCCTCCCTCTCCTGGAGCAGCGCCATGTAGCCTTCCTTGCTAGTAGTCCCTGATGACCACAGGGGGTCTCGACGGGGGTCTCTGGATGCGGGTCTACAGGCCAACAGGTAGAGTAGGGCCACGCAACAGCAGAGGCCCGCCACCACCGAGCCCACCCGGGCCAGCAGGGCCAGCAGCCATCGTTTGAACATGGCTGTCATTCAGTTGGAAAGGTGACTGCACTAATGTCATGTGAATATGCGAAATGCAAAAATGATCAGAATTATTCCGTACTGTAACTGCTGGAGTTATTTTGTGCATGCAACTTGTTTGATTTTGACCTTTATATAAAGCAGCATCTTCACTGTGTGTCACTTTTTCAGCATCCTTCAGAAAAGGTGACTGAAGCTCCTGAAATCACAGAAAAATACAATGAAAAACTTCAGAAACAATCAGTCAATCGGAGTGAGTGAATACTGAATGTGTTTTTAAAATTAATTGTTTGGATACAGCTACAGATGCATGCTTTGTTTGGATACACCGCATATTCGCCACTTCCCCCAAATCATATGTAGGCTAATTGTTTTACTTTGTAATTAAGACTATCATAGAGAATGACAGAGAAAAGCAACAGAAACACCTTTTCTGCACACTGGAAGAGCAACCTTGACCTTCTCTGAATCTCATAAAACCTTAGTGACAGAAACAAGCTTGTCTGTGTGTGTGTGTGTGTACGTGTGTGTGCGCGTGTATGTGCTCCCATGTGTTCCCATCATCAGTTTATTCGCAGCACAGTTACGTCTTTATTACACAGGTAGAGGCTGAGCTCATGAAAGAGCTGCCTATGTTTCCACATCCACCCATGTATGGCCCACTCCCAGTCAGTGTGTGTGTGTGTGTGTGTGTGTGTGTGTGTGTGTGTGTGTGTGTGTGTGTGTGTGTGTGTGTGTGTCTACAAGAGAGAAGCGTGCTGCGATTACAGATGCATGCATGTGTTTTTACAATGAAGATTTGTACCCTTGGATGAGAGTTTAAAATTTACATTAGGAAATTAAAAATAGCCCAAAAGTCATAAAAAAAAAAAAAAATCCAAAAGATGTGTTTAGCTTTTTTGGGACTCTCACCAGGCAGTAAATAATAGCATCAGTAGCATACAATCACTTATTCACAAGGTTATGAGTTGTAAAAACACACTTGTACTTACCCAAGCAATCAGTAGGGCATTTAATTCTTCTTCCTCCAAAGCATGTGTTGTCAGAATTTATGGTTGTGAAATAAAGGTGAGCGAAAAAAGTTTTGAAGTGACCCCGTAGGAGCAAAGTGAGCATGCATCCTCCTCCTCTCATTTTATCGCAACCTTCCCCCCCAATAGGACCTCCCTCTGCTTCCAGCTCCTGTTTTAGGAATGTGCTCTTAGAAATTCTCACAGAGTGGAACCTCCCAAATGGAATCCCAATTTAAAAAAAGAAAACAAAAAAAGAAAAAAAATAGTCATCTTATAGGAACTACTCCCAAGGTCGACATGGGTTTATAAACAGATCGTTGATCATGATTTAATGCTACAATCCAATTAATTGTGCTTCTCCCTCCAGTGTACCCGTCTTGGCCACTGGGAGGCAGTATAATACAGTCAGGCAGACACAAATGAAGAAGAAGACTTCTTCTATTGTCAGTGTAAGTAATTCAGGGTGTGTTTGAATGTTCAGGCTTTTTTTTCCCCTAACACGGGCATATCCACCTCCGGTCTGCAAGGGCCGCTGTTATGCCGGTTGCAGATGTGTCCTTCCTGCAACACACTTGATTCGAATGATTAGCTCATTAGCAAGCTGCGAAGAAGCCTGAAAACGATCCTGATTATTTGAATTAAGTATGATGCAGGAAGAACATAAAACTGCAGGACAGCAGCCCTTGAGGACCAAGTTTGGACCCCCCTGCCCTAAACCCTCATTCAATATATAGTCCCGAACTATATGTAGCACTAGACGGTAGTTCCGACATACTCGGAAAGCCAGCATACTATTTTCTCACTCGTTTTTGTTTGATGTTTACTTTGACAATAAACTTGGGGAGTGGTGTTAAAAATCTTCAAATCTCTTTTCTGAAGAATTGCAGTGCTTGTATCTAAAGTATGTGCTAAAACATGTATCTCAAGGGACCACAGTATAAAAGAAGTAAATGAATAGAAAATAAAGTAAAACTACGCACACTTTGAAGGCACCTCAGACTGCAGTGGAAAGGGAACGGGTACATGTGTGCATCTTAATACTTTACAGGTGCTGTTGAAATTTATGAAGCAATTACTTGTTTCTCTTCTGTCATGTTTTTTTTTTTTTTTGGTTGGGTGCAATACGTTTTGCAAGATTTTACTGTACTTGAATGGTAATAAATAGACATTTCTGAATTCAAGACAAGTTTCCATCTGAGGGTGGCGCCACATGCACTCCTGTCAAGACCCAAACGAGCTGATTGAAACAAGAACATTTATTTTAAGTTATTTATATCAGTTGTTGTACAGAGTGAACATTTTCTTTTACACGTGTGCTGCACACTGACACACCTTGTTTAGATTGTTTGTTGTTGTTGTTGTTGTTTTTTTTAATGAATTCACGAGTGTGCTTTGTGACATTTGTGCTCAGTTTAGGCAGTGTGTTGCTTCAGGAAAAAAAAAAATGGAATGTAAAATACAGAAGCACCGTTAATCGTCTGAGGGGTGCCTCTGGGGTGATCTTTCATATGTAAAGTGCATTTGTCTTCAACGGAGAGCCACACAGCTGGTGCGGTTACGGGAGACTTCATTAGGGACACCTTTCACAATCTAATGAGATCCAATACGTGAGCTGTCATATAGATTAGCAGGGATTAGAATGTTCACTTGATGTTCATTATTGTGGTTATAGTTTGCATTGGTGCACCGCATCATTTCAGAAAATAACCTAAATTTTAGAAACACCTCTGCGTATGATCTACAACCAAAATAAATAACACGGTGGTAAACTGAGCATTATAATCTTTGAAAGGCAGATTTTTTTCCCCCCATGCAGAGCTCATATATATATGATCTCATTAGATGTTGCTGATATTGTGGAATGGATGGAAGTAACCCAGAAAAAAAAAAAAACATGTCAGCGACAATAGAACCATTATCAGGGACCATTTAAAATAAAGAAAAGAAAAATATGACAACTGAACGCATTTGTATAATCTGTGGGTTAAATAATTTAGGGGGCATTTTGATGTATAGCACAATAGCTATAATAATAATAATAATAGTAATAATAATAAAAATAATAATAATAATAATACAGACTTTTTTTAAAATTCCCCCAAAATTTGTTTTGGATATGTGAGTATTCCACCAGATGGCAACGATTTATTAACCTATCCCCTACAAATGATTAATTAAAATAAAGCAACATAATTAGTGTGCACATAGGACAAAATTGTGACACCTCAACTGTGTAACGTCTGTAGTTCAAGTTATCATTAAAACAAAACACTGTATTTGTTCATATTTGATATCCAGAATGTTCTTGCCACAGTGCTTTGTTCTCTTCAAAGGTAGTTTTCTCCACAGCATGTCGACATAATCATACGCTTGTGCAACTGTCTTTTGTTGTGGTCATGAAAGCCTTGGAGCATCGAGGAGGTCAACGAAACACAAGAAAATGTTGTTGACCTCCCTGGAGGGAAAATGTGAAGATGTGTGAGTGGGGAATGATGAAAGAAAAGCGGTTGGAGGGACGCGTGGGTGGCTGCACGTAATCGCCGCACCAGAAGGCGCTGCCGTGTTGCCGTCTCGGGGGGTGCGGTTGCCAGGCAACAGCATCCCTCACCATGAGGGATTTTATTTCTTTTTTCTGGGTGCTCAGCTACCCCGAAGTGCAGTGGTGTTGTTGGCACAGCCGCCAAATGTTGATCCTGGTTTCCGGCAGCGGTATGTTCAACGGCATCGCTGCAGCCAAAGTACGGAAGCGAGTTGTTGAGCTACACCAGTTCGTCCAGCAGGGTACCAATGCTGTGGTGCTCAGGGGGGCCGGCGATGGGCTTGTTGCACATGGGGCAGACGCATCGCACCTCCAACCACTTGACAAGACACCTGCAGATACGCAGAGCGAGCATCAGTCACCACACACACCAGTGGGTGGGCCTTGCGTTTTGGTACAGAGGCCTAGGAAAGGCTGTGACCCTGTATCAGGTTTTCAGGGCTCCCCATACTGTAATGTATTATTTTGATAGAGTCATAAAAACATGGCATGATTGTCAGGGAAGAGGCAGACTGCCACAAAGAGCAAAAATGAACGAAAATAAGGGCGGGAGTGAGGATATTTTGAGAGGCTGTTAGCAATAACACCCGTCAGCAGAGATGCAAGTAATTTTTAAGATTATTTTTTTGCAGTGATTCTGAATCTGCCCTTGCTTTTTTTCATATATTATATTTTTTTTCTCAAAAACATTTATTGATACGTAAAACCATCTCTGATTAAATGTTGCCGTTGACCAATTTACTGACTATACCAGTGCATTTCAGCGACAGTGACTCTCCGCGCTTTACTTTTTTTTTTTATTTAACTCAATTTAATTCATCCATTCATTTCCTAAACCTTAGAACTGTGAGCCCTTAATAATTTCATCTAATTATTTTTTTTAATACTGAACACATACATTTTATTTTAAGTTATTCAGTATCGTTCATTCTTGCCATGTGTTGAGATCTACACTCCTGTGCTAAATACACTAAAATACACAAAATGTACACATATTACAAAGAAGCTCAAAATGATGTCATCACTACTTTGAGGAGTGGAAACTTCCCCCGACAACAGACACAATGGCAGTCGATTGCGAGACTATTTTTAGCGATGAGCAGCGTAACTTGCCGAAATCCTAATGGAGCACAACTGAGTTCCTTTGTTTAGCAGTTTTTTTTCCCCCAAAAAGGTTTTTGTATAAAAATGGAGATGAATGAATAATTTGTTTTATTGGTGATTCGCTGCTTATAAGGAAGTCAAGTGTGATATAACACGAAAAACCACAGGCTGTACTCATGTACTCACTTTTGATGGAAAGCATGTTGGCATGGCAACACTCCCAGCTCGTCTTTCACTTTAAAGTCCTCCAGACACACTGCGCACGTCTGCTGCGTGAGTGACAGACAGCACACTCAGCATCCTTTTTCTCATTTATGCCCATCGTTTTTGGACAAACGTTGCATTCTTACCCCGTGCACGTTCAACCTCTTTGGATCTCCTTTCAAAACCACCTGTACAGTCGCGCACACACACACACACTTAAATAAAAGCAGTGAGGGAGAAGACATAATCAGCTGTGTTGAATCTACCTCTCTGTATCCAAACCGCTCACTCTGGGCCTGATGTCGAAGTTTGCTATTGGAGAAAAGACAGAACATGGTGTTAAATATTCTTGAGTCACTAAAATGTGTAAGAAACATTTGATTGAGCAGTGACTACAAATAAGAGAGACTTACTTTTGGTGGTTTGTTGTGGTTTGTTTGTATTTTACAATATGAATGAATTTGTCAGCACACACACACGCACACACACACACACACACACACACACACACACACACACACAATAGTGTGTGTGCATATGTGTGTGTGTGTGTGTCTGTGTGTGTGTGTGTGTGTATACAGCATGGATTCCCCTCCATTGCTTAGCAACGTGACTGACTCATACATTATTGTATTTTGGGAAGCATGGGAGGGGGGGGGGGTCTGAGCACATGGTCTGAAAACATGTCTGGTAAATGGAAACAAATTTCGCTGTTTGTGAAGGCTGAAGTTGTCTCTCCCTTTTGTCTCTCAGACGAAGCTCAGTCGAGACGACGAATTGGCAAAGCCAACCATTTTGACAATCATCCGTAATGGCAACAGAGTTTGTTGCGAATAGATTGAAAGATGGTCATAAACGGCTTCGGGTGTGCGGCACCTCCTGAACTGGAGAAGGCACTATTTTCATTTGCTGGCAGAATGTTTGCAGAAATAAAATAAGAAGAGTTGTTTGTTACATGTCTAATAAAATCTTTTTTTTTTCTTCAAACTGTATACACGTATTAGTAATTGACATGTTTACACTGTATTACAAATGTTCAGGTTTTTATATCTATAAATGTTCATACTGTATGATACATCGTAGTTGGCGGCCATTTTAGTGGAAATGGTTCCGACGAACGACGGTTACGAACTACAGATTCGTTATGTCCCTCGAGGTACATCGTAAGGAGGTTCGACTGAAATAAGCCACTACAAATCCATTGAATCCACGCGCCGCCCACAAAAGCAACAATGGAGAGATGCTTATCACTGTCCGGGCCAAGTCTGATGAAGTGGTTCTATTTATA